CCTTCCTTTGGGTCACTGTCCCCCTTCTTCGCCAGACACGGGGTTACGGAGCAGTTTGCAGAGGCGGATCCTCCACCGCTCTATACACCTTCCCGGCCCAATCCTGCCCGGGCTGAGGGCAGGCGCCGTTTTAAATTGCTGCAAACATGCTTATTTGATAAGCGCCCAGCACCCCAATGCCAGCGGTGCTGCAGAAACCCACAGCAACGCCCACCAAGTGACTTCCGACACGTAGAGCCCCAGCGCCGCTCGTTATTAAGCACCCAAAGATGTGAGGGACGTGGCAGCTGACCTGGAAGGCGGCAAATTAATATTTGCACCTTAGGGTGGGACCCATCCGGGAGCATGGGTGGCCACAACAGCACCGGTGACATCCGACTCGGTCACGCTCGGCTACCTTTATACCCAACCCGAAGGCAGCCGGGAGAGCTCGTGCAGAGCGTGGCTCCACCAAACCGCGGCACTCGGCCGAGTAATCGGCGTCGCTGACCAGAACCAGCCGGGACTGAAGTCCGGGCTGGGATTGTTTCGCAATTCCTGGATTGATATTAGATTTGGCCACTTGTTTGGCGCTGGGGAGCGGGGAGGAGAAAAACCAGATGGGAGCGAGAGATGGAGGGAGCCGAAAGACACGACTCCGAGGCACGAGGCATCCCCACCTCGCCCTACCTTGGGGAGCTGCCGTGCACCTTGCAGCCCGGCCCAGGAAGCGATCAAAGTTTCTCTAATGATCTTAGCTTTAAAAAACGGGAGGTTTAGCCTGCCAAAATCCTATTGACAGGTTGAAGCTGCTCTGCGCAACCCTCCTGCTTCGGCTCAGCTTGGGGGCCCCCCCCACCCCGAGCTCTGCGCCCCGCGGGCGAGTTCCTCCCCGCCTTAAAACCGGGTCAAAACTCCAGGGAATTGGGGCTCTGCCCAAAGGAGCAGCGAGGGGCCTCACCCGAGTCCAGGATGTGGTTGTTCCTCAGGTCGAGTATCTGTATGTAGCAGTTGAACTTCAGCAGGTTGCCGAGCTGAGCCGAGTCCTGCAGCCCGTTCAGCTTGTTATCGGCCAGGTACAGCTCCCGCAGGTTCATGTTCATCTTCAGAGCCGTGGCTGAAGAGGCGGAAAACCAGCACCTCAACCCGCATC